CGGTCGTGACGTGGAATTTCTCAAGTATCGCCATGACTAGAAGGCATCGGGAAGCGGCCGGTTGTCGGAGGTGGTGCTAAACATGTGAGTCATCACAAATTTACACCAATTAATGTTGGCGTTGTGAATCATCGCATGCAGCGCCTTTGTGTCCTCTTGGGAGAGAGCGGTGTGATTGAACTTCCTTGGCTTGAGAATCTGTGTGAAGACATAAAAAACGAATCGAAACACAGGATTCATAGGAGTAATCGTCGGGTTCCGCTGTTGGGGAGTGGGGACGAAGTTTTGGATTCCCACTTCCTCTAAGAGGGCGGTCTCGTTGAACTGTGCCCCTCCTTCTCCGACGTAGAGACCGAGATCCTCTCCATTTCGACGAAGCCCGATGAGTATTTGAATGTTCTCCTCAATCAAAAAGATATCCACCCCGTTGACGTTTGAAATCAACGCTCCGTCCTCATCCTTTTTCAGATTCGAGTAAAAAGCTCGAACGAGAAAAGGTTGATAGTGAGCCTTTTTGATGTAGAGGAGGTTGAGGAAGTTTCCACGTTCGAGGATAACCCGTGCCTCACGTGGAATGGAATCGTGAATGAAGCGGGCGGTGGAGAACTGGGGAGGGAGAATTTCCCGCTACTCAAACTTCTCCGAGAATCGCGTCGCCTCTGCGCGGTCGTTGAACCAAAGGAACGACCCGTCGAGGTATTTGTGCGCCGGTGGTGGAGGAGGAGCCGAGGAGGAAGCGACATTCTCCCTGGTGCGGGATCTCTTTCTTCGTCCTCCAATTTATAAGGGGGAGGCCTTGGAGATCCGTTGGTGAAGTCAAACAGGTGTTTAATGCACCCCAAACGGCTAGAAAACGGTCATATTTTTGAAAACCTGTCGTTGTCAGTCGATTTACACAGCCTGTAACTCGATTATCTGAGACCTCTGATTTTCCGCTGAAGGATCTACGAATCGTGTTAGTCGATTGACATAAAGTTGCTAGTCAACTGACACTGGTTTGCTCCTGAAGTTTGAAAAGTTCAGCGGCCCCTGTTATTCGAATATCAGAAGTTTGATACTCGATTGTCTGGATTCTCAGCTTAATTGCCCCAAACTTCTACGGGCTGTGATAGTTGAGTATCACAAGCATGTAACTCGATTTACACCTTGACTTTCTGTGTTCCCCCTAACTTTGACACCCGAAAATGAATAAAAAATGAACCCTGCAAAAAGAGTTAAAAACGTCTCCGTCGTTCAAGTTAGTAATGACGGAAAAAAATATTTAATGCACAAATTAGATCATCATGGAGTCAAGAGTTCCGAGTTCACTACGAATGTGGAAGAATGACTCTTTCTCTAAAGGTTTTGTGAAAATGTCAGCTAATTGGTTTTGTGTTTCAACGAACTCAATTTCGACATCACCTTTGAGAACATGATCTCTAATGAAATGATGCCCAATGTCAATATGTTTCGTCCTTGAGTGAAGAACCGGATTCTTTGTCAAGCTTATGCCACTGGTATTATCACATCGAAGAGGAACGTGATCGATACTAAGGCCATAATCCACTAGTTGTTGCTTCATCCAAAGGATTTGAGCACAACAACTACCGGTGGCAACATATTCCGCTTCGGTTGTGGATAACGCAACACTGACTTATTTCTTACTAAACCATGAGACTAACGAGCTACCAAGCAAGTGACATGTCCCACTCGTGCTTTTACGGTCTAATCTACAACCAGAAAAGTGTGATTCACCGCCGTTAAGTGCGATTCTTTCGGACAAGATTGATACCTTGCACATAAACAAATGCTAAACATGATATCGGGTCTACTAGGGGTAAGATAAAGAAGAGATCCGATCATACCTCGATACTTCTTTACGTCTACTTATTTACCCTTTTCATCTTTGTCCAAGTGTTCGGAGGTGCTCATCGGGGTAGACATTGCCTTGGAGTCATCCATTTTAAATCTTTTTAGAAGCTCCTTGCAATACTTTGATTGACAAATGAAGGTTCCTTCTCTCATTTGTTTGACTTGTAAGCCCAAGAAAAAATTGAGTTCTCCCACCATGGACATCTCAAATTCATTTGTCATTAGATTTGAGAATTCCTTGCACAAAGATTCGTTAGTAGCACCGAATATAATGTCAGCTACGTAAACTTGTACCAAGAGGATGTTATCGTTTTTACTCTTGATAAAAAGCGTAGTGTCAACCTTTTCCCTTTTGAACCCGTTGTCCAGAAGAAATTTGCTCAAATGTTCATACCAAGCACGAGGTGCTTGTTTAAGATCGTAGAGTGCTTTCTTTAATTTATAGACATACTCCGAGTGCTCAAAGTCCTCAAAGCCCGGGGGTTGATCAACATACACTTCCTCTTGAATAAAACCATTGAGGAAGGCACTCTTAACATCCATTTGGTATAGTTTAAAATCCATAGATGAAGCAAAAGCAAGTAATAAACGAATAGCTTCTAAATATGCTACTAGTGCATAAGTTTCTTCAAAATCAATGCCTTCTTCTTGATTGTAGCCTTTAGCTACGAGCCTAGCTTTGTTTCTAGTGATTATCTCATTTTCATCAAGTTTGTTACGGAACACCTATTCCGTACCAATTATGGTATGATCATCGGGTCTTGGCACCAATTCCCAAACGTCATTTCGTTTGAATTGGTTAAGCTCCTCTTGCATTGCCAAGGTCCAATGTTCATCATCAATTGCTTCCAAAATGGTTGTAGGTTCAATTTGAGAAACAAAAGTCATGTGACCTACGGTGTCCCTAAGAGAGCTACGAGTACTTACCTTTCGGTTGATGTCACCTATTACCTTGTCAAGAGGATGGTCCTTTGAAGTCCTCCATGCCCTTGGCATTGGCGTTTCTTCCTCTTGTGGTTGTTCCTCGTTCATAGGTGGCTCTTCTTCTTCGTCACGGACTTCCTTTGAGTTGTTTCCTTCGTCATTGTCGTTGAGATAGATGTTCTCTAATGAATCTACAAGATCATCACAAGAAACCTTTCTCGCCAAGCGAGTATCATTTTCGGCAAAGACAACATGAGGAGATTCCTCAATGGTTAAGGTGCGTTTTTTAAAGACTCTATAAGCCTTACTACGCAATGAATAACCAAGAAAAATTCCTTCATCCGATTTTGCATCGAACTTACCCAAGTTATCTTTTCCGTTATTGTGAACAAAACATTTGCAACCAAAGACTCGAAGACGGGAGAGATTTGGCTTTCTTCCTTTGTATAGTTCATATGGGGTTTTTTCATGAGTATCGGTCTAATGACGGCTCGATTTAACACGTAGCTCGCGGTACTCACGGCATCCACCTAAAAATACTTAGGAATTTTTGCCTCGTCGAGCATAGTTCTAGCCATCTCTTCGAGACAACGATTTTTATGTTCCACCACGCCATTTTGTTGTGGTGTACGTGGAGCGGAGAAGTTATGCTCGATGCCTAGTTCGTCACAAAACTCGGTAAAGAGATCTCGTTCGAACTCTCTACCATGATCGCTTTGTATGGCTATGGTGGTTAAGCCTTTTTCATTTTGAACCTTTTTGAGAAAAGTTTTGAAAATATGAAATGCCTCACTCTTGTAAGTTAGAAATAATGTCCATGTGAATCGAGAGTAATCATCAACAATCACAAAGGCGGAATAGTTTCCCCTAAAAAAAATTGTTCTTGATGGTCTAAAGAGATCCATGTGCAAAATTTGTAGGGGCCTTGTTGTAGACACAACATTTTTCGATTTAAATGAGGCCCTTACTTGCTTGCTCTTTTGACATGAATCACAAATGGTATCCTTCTCAAACTTGAGTTTTGGAAGGCCAACTACTAGGTCTTGTGAAACCAATTTATTCAAAAGGTTCATGTTGACATGAGTTACTCTACAATGCCATAGCCACATATCGTCCTCCTTACTCATGAGACATTTGGCAAAGTCGGAAGGAGATTCATCTAAGTTAACCATATAAATGTTATCGATTTTATCACCACGAAGAATCATCTTATTGTCACTAAGGCGTTCTACCATGCATGATTTAGAATCGAAGGTCACACGATTTCCCTTGTCACACAATTGGCTTATGCTCAAGAGATTGTATTTAAGACCCTTAACTAATAACACATTATCTATAGAGGACGTTTCGTTTTTACCAACCAAACCAATGCCGATTATTTTGCCCTTGCTATTATCACCAAATTAAAGACAACGTTTCCTCCTTTAGTTGGTTTGATTTGCAAGAACTTGGATGCATCTCCGGTCATGTGCTTGGAGCATCCGCTATCAAGGTACCAAAGTACACTTGATGCCTTCAAGGACACCTACAAATCAATTTAAAATGATTTAGGTACCCAATTCGTTTTGGGTCCTTGGGCGTTATGTGGACGTTGGTAGTGTGATTGGTTTTGTGTGCAATGCATATGCCTAGTGAAGCAAACTGGGGCTATATGTCCTACCCTATTGCAATAATGACAAATAACATTTGGATTATGCATTCTCCTAGGTTGATAATAGTTACTAGGTTTTCTATATTGATTGATCCTAGTTTGAGAAAGGTTTTGTTTATGCATATTTAAAAAATTGTTTCTAGGTTCCCTAACTTGTCCATTGTTCATCCTAGTGTTCTTTCTAGGTGGTCTAGTGTTCCTATTGTTCTAGGTTGTCTATTGTTGCTCATTTTAGTTTTCCTAGGTTGAGCCTTAGGTTGTTTAGGTGGTTGCTCAACTTTTTATTTATTATTATTAGTTTCATTTTCAAACCCTAAGCCATGTTTAGTAAGTTGCATTAAGATTTTTATGAGAAACACCAAATATATTCAAGGTTCTTTCAAGTTTTGCAACTTGTTGCTTAAGTGATGTACAAGAACTACATTTTGAACTTTCCGGTTTGTGGGCGCTTCTTTTTCCGAAAAACTTATTTTCTTCTTTAAGTTTTTCATTATCTTTTGATAGTTTATCAACTTCCTTCTCCATGGAAGTAAGTTGTTTCTTCAAATCCTTGTTAATTTTAGAAGCGTTGACATATTCATCATAAAGTTCATTGAAGGCTTCTTGTACATCATCAAAAGTATAGGAATATTTAGAAGTGGTACATACCTCTTCCGGTGGTTCCTCGTGTTCCATGAGGCAAAGGTTGCCACTTTCGTTTTCTTCGCCTTCCGATGATTCGTCACCGGAATCACCTCCCCACAGGATGTAAGCTTGGTGCTTCTTCAACGGTTTCTTCTCCTTCTTGTTTTTTAGCATTTGGGCATTTTGGCTTGATATGCCCAATTTCTCCACACCCATAGCATTTAGGTGGTCCTCCATGTTTCTTACCCTTTCATTCATACTCCTTTTGCATTAACTTGTGGAATTTCTTGATAACGAGCCCAAACTCGTTGTCTTCATCACTTGATTCCTCCATGGCGAGTTCCTTGCTCGAGGAAGCCTTGAGTGCAATCCCCTTCTTCTTTTGTTCACCTAAAGAGGGGGGAAAATGGTAGACTCATAGGTTTTGAGGTTACCTCTAAGCTCATCGATGGTGACGTTGGTGACGCCGATGGACTCTTGGATGGCATCAGCTTTAGAACGTCATTCCGGTGTGAGACTCCACAGGATTTTTCTCACGAGCTCCTTGTCCGTGTATGTCTTTTTGAGAGCGTGAAGGCCGTTGACGATTTTTGAGAATCGTTCAAACATCTCATCGATTTTCTCATTTTCCTTCATACGAAACAATTCATATTCATGAGTTAGAAAATCAATTTTTGCTTCTCGGACTTGATCTGTACCTTCATAGGTGATTTCTAGCTTGTCCCACATTTCCTTGGCGGTGGAACAACAAGAAATATTCTGGTAGTCATCCAGGTTCACGTCACAATAGAGGATGTTGATGGCTTTTGCGCTGTTCTCGATCTTCTTGATGTCTTGTGCATCATACTCATCCTCGGTCATAGGAACGGTGGTTTCCCCGACCTTCTTCATAGGCACATCTTCGCCCTTCTTGATGATTCTCCACAGGAGAAAGTTGGGGGGATTGGATGTAAATCCTCATCCGCTCCTTCCAATACATGTAGTTCGTTCCGTCAAACAACGGAAGCCTCGTGGTGGATTGTCCTTCACCTAAACCTGCGTATAAGTTTTTAGTAGAAACCATTGATCGTTTCTCTCAAACGGTTAAGTCTTTCAAAGAGTATGGCTCTGATACCAATTGTTAGAATATAGGCCCAACGCTAGAGGGGGGTGAATAGCGTTTAAAACAAAATCGCAGGAAATTAAAAACGAGAGCGATAAAATAAAGAGAGTAAGGAAGGAGCACACCGAATTTTATTCTGTTTCACCACAACGTGTGGCTAATCCAGCCTCCCGAGAGACTCTCTCAAGCTACACTAACTCCGTTAAGCTTAAGGGTGCTTAACAAACTGATACAACTTGAGAACCCGAGTCACACGAGCCTCAATGCCTTTGCTCGGAGATACTGCACTCCAAGACTTCTCACGAAGGAACAAAGATTTCCTTCAAATTTTACAACAAGGAAACAACCTCCCTTCAAGTGCAAAAACACTTAAACACTCAGGAATAAACTCTCACAAAGAGTATATATGAGTGAACTAGTAAACGCTCAAGAATACGACAATTTCTTCAAAATTAGCTCTCAAATAGCTAAGAAAATATGAGAATGCTTATACAATGAAAGAGTATTGAAATGTTGAATAATTTTTTGTAAAATGAGAGGATTTGGGTGCCATTTTATAGCCTAAAATGGGATAAACCCGTTGCAAAATTTCCAACAGGATCAGGACAAAAATTTGAGAGTTGCAGAGTGATAGTCGATTGTAAAGCTTGATAATCGATTATCTAAATATTCTCTGTCCAAAAATTTAAAATTCTATCCGTTGGAGGAAAACGGTAATACTGATAATCGATTGTCCACTAATGTCAGTCGACTATCAGCCCTCTCAGAAGTTTCTGGGTTTAAGGAAAAACGCAGACAATCGAGTGACAGAACGTGTCAGTCGATTATTGGATGGTTCGGAACTTTAAGGTTCGGAACTGCAGCAGCCAATATTCGAATGTCATAAACTGACAGTCGATTATCAGCTGGCTAAAACCGTCCGCCGAGAAACTTAACCCGAAAAGCGGAGGTCCAAAAATGAAGTGTTCCCAAAAGTAAAAACCAAGTTTGAAAAACATTGTATATGGTATAAAATGGTGAAACCAAGACTTGTTTGATAAAAACCAAGTCTTCGAGGTCATTTGTCACGTGTGTACGGTTTTGACCGTTTTTCACGTGTTAGACCGATTGACCAAGATACAAAAGTGGTTTTCACAAAATAATTATTTGGGAACCTTTTAAATATGCCTAGAGGTAAAAAAGAGATTTGATATTTGAAAACCACTAAGTTGGTTTGGACGCTGAAAACCAAACGCCGAACCCCGAATGCCGGACGCCGATGTCGAACGCCAAACGCCGACCGAGGTGGTTTTTGGTCTGGGCAAGGACCAGGGATTTTAATACAATAAAACTTTATTAAAAATGTTTATTTTGATGAACAAAAACGTTTTATGATTTTGTAAAATTATTTTGACTCTTTGAGAACCGAGACTTGAATTGATTATCGGTTAGAACACACTAAGACCGACTCGACTAAGTTTTTAATTCTTGATCTTTGTCCTTGAGTCTTTTGGTCTTGTTCCATGCCATTTTTCATGCCTTGAGTTGTTCAACGAAAACTCTTCATATCCACGACGGTTTGGCAATTATCAAAACCTGTCAAAAATGAACACGACTTTAGTTCAACGCAATAAAAAGTGTGTTCCAACCGCATCATGACTAACTTGAGACTTCATTAAAAATGAAAAGCACATTGGTGTTCAAACCGGTCTCGTAAAAAATAGGAGTTGGCCCATGCCCATGTCACGTCACGATGCGTCACGAGCATGCACGCGCTCATACACGTTCCCGCATGGGCGAGTCGTGTCGAGCCGAGCTAGACGAGTGGCAACAACAATGCGCGAGAGGTCCTTTGTTTCTTCCTTCTCAAATTGCTTTACAATGCGTTTCAATGCTAGCATATAAATGGTGAAAGATGAAAGGTCTCAAACCTGATGTGGGATACATGAGTTTTTACACGTTCCTACTCCTTCCAAGTGTTTAAATTTATGAATTAATTTCTCATTCAACTGAATATCATTCTTTTTGCACAATTTTTCAAAACACTCGTCTCACTTTGGAAGTAAATTGTCCATAATTATTTTGGAAAATATTTTAATTAGTGAATCACACCAAATTTATGTCCGAAGTTGTCTCGTTATAAACCAAAAATTCTAAAAAATGCTCAAATTTGAGTTTGAGAGGAAGAGAGGGGGGGGGGGGTAAACCTAAACTCGGTTTGAGATTGTAGTACTATTAGTTAAAAAATATATTGAAAAATAGGTGTCCATGGGAGATGCCTTAGAGAATTCATTTTCCAATTTCTAATTTTTACTTTCAATTTTTCAAATTTGTCAGTGAAGATAATGTCGGGCTAATAAACAATTATATGCTTCCTCTCTCTCTAAAAAAACTTCTTGTTTCATGTTTTGCGTATCACATAAGAAACCTCTATCTCATCTAAAATATCTAATATATTCCAAAATGTATGACTTTACCTGTAATAAAGGAGAAATATGGCGAATCTTAGAACAAATATGTATAGAAGTGTACGTATTTAGGGATGTCCAAAAAATAAAAAAAGAAAGTTTTTTTTAAGAGATGGATGGAGTATTTGGGTTTAAAATTCACTGTTATCACTTGGGTTTGAAACTCATTTTGGATCTCTTTCTTTTTTGACTTCAAAAACAAAGTGTGAAGAGGGTGACGATGATGAACACGGATAAGAATTGGGCGGATTTATATAAAAAAAAAAAAGTATATATATTTTTTTAAATAATAACACAATAATACATCCAAAGTGTATTTAATGACAAGCAAACTTATAACTTATTCTTATTAGAATCAGATTGGATTAGGTCAATCAGATCATACTTGATTCAATCAGATCAGATCCAATCCAAATTATTTATTATTTATTTATTTATTTATTTATTATTATTATTATTATTATTATTATTATTATTATTATTATTATTATTATTATTATTATTATTATTATTATTGCAACCTATTATTGTTATCGACTTGTTTGAAGAGATGGATAGAGTCATGGAGGAACACTAGTCGTGAAAAGGTTAACCGCCACCCTAGCTTATTATTTTTATTCACCAATGTTCCCATGACCTTGTCTGGCAATGTCATGGGATGACCCGGAGGTGCTCCGATACCCCATTCGTAAAATTGACGATTCTTACCCCCCTTAACCCCCCAGTAAACCCCCCACCCTGACCTGAACTCAACTCCCCACCCCCCTTCAATTGCACCCCACAAGTTGATTTTGACTTTAGAGTCAAATTTGACTCCGAAGTCAAAATCAACTTGTGGGGTGTAATTGAAGGGGGTGGGAAGTGTGTTCGGGTCGGGGCGGGATGGGGGGTTTACCAGGGGAGTTAGAGGAGTAGGAACTGCCAATTTTACGAACGGGGTACCGGAGCGCCCTCGGATCATCCCATGACATTATCGCGCAATGTCATGAAAACCTTGCCCATTTTTATTAGGATGCAGAAAAATGTAAACTTATTATGTAGGATGTAGAAAAAATATAATATTTTGTAGCATAACACTCATATTTTCTAATGATTGGATAGTTTAAAAATAATAATCTATCTTTTCTATATTGAATATAAAAAAGTAAATGATTAAATTTTCAATTATTGAAAACGATTTTTATTCTAATGTATATATGAATTGATTATTTTTATTTCATATATCTAATTATTCTAAATTAGAAGTTATTGATTTTATTATAATATGAATGATCATTATAGTGTTTTAAAGTTTTTAAATTATAGTAATAATTTTAAGTTTAATTTGAATTGAATTTAGATCAGATGATAATTCATTTTATAACAAAATCAATAATTTCTAATAAGATCAGATCAAATCAAAATTTAAAAGCATCACGCAAACAGAACACAACCTTAGTGTTTAAGGTGTGCTGCTATCACCACCATCCATCATAAATGTTAACCGATCCCAAATGAAACGACGGTCTCATATTGACATTCGCTTCTCTCGTGTAATATCTCAGCGTATATATGCCGTCATTGGAATTGTAGCTCATCATCCATTTAAAAGTATTTTCGTTCATGCACGTACAGCTTCTTCAATCCATTCATGCACGCAAGATCTTCAAATTCATACGGTTTCATATATCGCAGACAAGATAGAAAATATTTGGCAGGATTTTCCTTAATATATACCTCGTTTCTAAAAGATTACTACAGTTTTACTTTATAAATCAAATTATGACATTCTTTCACTATGAATTAAATATAATTTAAATAATTAAATATTACAAAAATTTTATATTTCGAAATTATATTTTAAGATAAACCAAATTTTATAAAATTTATATTATAACTGAATATGTTTTTTTTCATAATTTGCGGTCAAAAGATGACACAATTTGACAAAAAAATCAAATTGTGACAACTTTTCAGGAACGAAAGGAATATATTTCTTATTTATAACGAAGGTTTACTCCAAATCACAATTCAAATCTTTGATTGATTTAAAAACGTCAAATCGTTGAAGATTTTTCCTTTAGGAAATCGTCTTGCCTTGCCGTGGAACCCAATTTTAATTTAATTTACTCACTCTTGATAATTAGAAGTCTCGAATTCAAAAATAATACTTCCTCCTCCTTATAACTTCTATTTGTTTACTCATTCTACTTGATCATTTAATAAAATAAAATATCATTGTCGCAACTTATTTTGTAGAATTTTTATATATTTTTTGTAGAAAATAAGAAAGAAAATATTTCTGTATATTAAATTGACTTCTGAATTGATTTAGAATACAAAGATCTAACCCTCTTTATATAGGAAGAAGGTAAAGTAAACAAGGAAATTCATATTCCTACTAAAATAAGAATTTAATAAACTAGGAAAGATACGGAATATTAAACATAATCCAACTAGGAAAGATACTAAATCTAATCCCAAAGGGATTCAGT